GCACCCCCACCTGCTTGTCAAAAGCGTCCGGATCCATCGTCTTAGGGCCTGAGCCCTGATTATAGCCAGACCGGAACGCTTTAGCACTAGCCAGGTGTGCCAGACAGGAGTAGCGCCCCTGCATTTGCTTCCCTGCCTTGAAACAAGTAGTAAGAGCCTCGGTCAGGCGTTGAACTTCGGCCTGAAGAGAATCCACCTTAGCCTCAGAGGCTGATAACTGCCTCTTATACGCGTCCTTGGCTTCAGAAGCTATCTTCAGATTGGTAGAGGCAGTAGTGGCTCTCTTCTCTGCATTGTCAAGATCCTTTTCCAGCTTCTTGATGGAGAGGGATTGAGCTTCAGCAGTGGCGCAGAGGGCCATGGTGTGGTATAGATTCTGTTTAACAGGGGAGCAAATATAAGCATAAGTAGAAGCATAAGCGAGCAAGAGTAACATAATTCTGAAAGGAGCAATGCGAACCTCTATGGCCCGGACCGGGGCAGAGGGGAGTAGTTGTTCCAACCCCATTTGGCTGATGGCTTCCTCGTCCTTTGGGAGCCACATTCCTCGAGCCACCGCCAGTGCAGCTGAAGGGTCTGTAATCACAGAATCCCCCGAGTGCAGGACTGACCTATCAGCCCTGGTGAAGGAAGGAGTCCAAGGAGCCCCAGTCTCAGCCAGAACAAAGGCCCGAACTTCATCTTCAGGTTCGGCCTCTCCAGCCTTTTTCCCTCTGCTCTTAGAAGTGACCTTGCCCTTGCCAGAGGATGAGGGGTTGAGGCGAGATTTCTTCATTGGTGGTTCCTCAACCTCCACCTCATCCTCAGTTGATCTAATAACAACCAAGGGTTGGGCGTCTTCGGCTTTCTTTTTTAAAGCCTCAGCCCTCCGTATCTCCTCCTCAGTCATGGGGAAACTGTCAAAGGATGGTAGAGACAGATCCATGAGGTCTGCAGCAACAGCACTGGAGGCAATATCCTTGAGGTTTGAAGAAGTTAGCAGGTCCTCGATAGGCGAGGGGTCACTCCAGACTCGTTCCTCAAGAAAAGAAAGTCTGTTCCTTGCCGCGGAAGATGGGAATGTAGCTGAAAAAATACCAAGAAACTCATAAGTACGACGAAACATTAAGACTTGGCAAGGAAAACAGCCAGAACACTTGGTATGAAGGGAGGTTAAGTATTCTATACCTAATTTCCCGAACTTGTGCGGGATGGGGAGAGTAATTGATTGGGACACGAACCATTTTCCTTTAACTATAACCATCCTTTCTTTCCACTTCTTTTCGGATGAATGAAGGTTCGTGCATATCCTTTGATGAAGGGGAGAGGTAAAAAAGAAGCGACCAGGCTCGGTCCCATGCTTAGATATATTGTAAGTAAGCAGAAGGTCGGCAAGGTTCAAATCCAGAGCCTCTAATTTCCGGCGCACCAACAGTGCCGAAAGGATGCGAAAGAAATTAGGGTTTACCTGAAGGGGGGCAAGATCCAGCTTATTAAACATTAAATGATAGAAGGGATGAAGAGGGAATCGGAGGGCGTTAAGATGCCCCACCGAAAGAAGCAACTTATCCTCCTCAATTCCCTCGCCGGAGGTAAAATCGGCACCCTCGGGATATTCTGCAATTTCTACTCCCTCAGGAATATCAAATTCTTCCATTACCGAAGCAATAGAGAACTTGATGCGGCGAATAGAGATGATTGCTTTCTTCTCTTCATGAGTAAGAACATAATCAGAGCCTGAGGTAGATGTCTCGGTTGGAAAAGGGGAAGTACCTAATGGATTCGACAAAGGGCGATCTGTAGAAACCCTAGGAGGGGGAGCCCTAATGCGAACGGGGGAAGATGAAGGTGTGGATTCAGAATCCCCAAGGTCTATACGTTCGAGAGTAGATGAAGTACTCATAATGAAAGATTGAAGAGAAAGATGCGAGACTAACCTGACAAAGCGATGGAATGAAGAGCGCAGAAGTGCAGCAAGGGCAAATATAACTCTTGCAAAATCTTGTATGACGAAGTAATAATGAAAGACCTCGAACCGTTTCTGAAGCAAAGTAAAAATCGGTTTCAATTCCCTCTTTAATAGGAGCCGTCGCTCAATTAAAAACGAAATTTGGGGCAAAGTGTGGAGGGAAAAAAAACTCCCTCCAATAAAAAGCGCACACGTCACCACTACCCATATCTACATTCCAAAGGCCCATCATGCTCAAGCCCAAATTGAGGGTATTTACAGCCCAAGACCATTGTTATTTGTTCTCCAACTTCCATCAAGGCCGAATCAAGAAGTCATCAGCCCAGCTCATGAATATTTAACATCCGACCTATTACTCAAGCCCAGCCGGATCAAAATATATTCAGCCCAGTTATTCAAGAATGCACAGTCCTACCAGTTGAAGGATTTACTATAGAAGGAAAACTCTGAGATAGGAAGTTCTGTACAAGGCAAGTTCTATGTATGGAAAATTCGACAATGGAAAGAACCCTATTAGAAAAGAATGTTTATATAGAAAGAATTGGAGGGCAAGTAACGCGAGTCCTACCATAATTTTGCAATCTTTTGTATATAAATAGAGGCTAAAATCTCCAATAAAGCGATCAAGCAATTCTACGCTTCTCGATATACTGTTCTTATTGTTTTTTGAGTGAGTTGTTTTATTTTTCTCAACCATTATTGGTTGAGCGAAATTTTGCACCTACAAAATTAAATAAAATTTACATCATTCTGTCACATTTGTTGATTGTGTCGCCTGGACTCATGTAATAATTTCTCCGATTAAGAATACATCATTTAGTATGAGTCTTACTTAAATATTAAAAAATTCCTCAACTAACAAAATAGTGTATTTTAATTAAACGAATATATTAATAACGTTATATACGAAACTCACCCGATATCAACAATGTGACATGTGCCGAACTCACCCAATATTTTACCCAATGTCTTGTACTTGTTAGTTCTGGTACCCGAGGATTATGAGAATGATTGGAGTGGGACGAATTGAGGATTGGTCATTTTTCCAAAGTTATAGGATGTTCCTTGATTGAAGAAAGAAAGGGTTGTTAGAATTTTGACTACCTTTGTTGGAAGCTGGAATCTAGGTCGGAGGAGTAGGACCATGTCCTTTTCAGTGGGGTATGTAGTATGAATGGCACTAAGCCGATTCCAAATTGGATGCTTTGGATACCAGCAATTTAAGAATTGCATCTCTCTAGATCTCCACGAAGGATTTAAATTTCTACCAATTGATTTCCAAATTCCTTTATTTTTTTTTTTTTATTGAATTGAAAAAAAAAAATAATAATTCAAACAATACACAGCTGACCATATTTTTGTAGTTGTAAAAATTCAAAAGAAATCTTTTAAGTCAGAAAGGTTTTATATTTATTTTAAATCAACGATTATGAGAGTTACTAGAAACTTTGGTACACTTGAAATTTTGATAGATTTTTATAATTGAATTTTTGTTTTAATTAACAATTTTTTCATAATTAATTTTTGATTTAAATATTTATTGAGAAAAAAAATGTGTTGACTTATTATTTTTATGTATTTTTTGAAAGAACAATATTTGCCTTAGGCCGCCCAATAAAATATCAACAGGTGTTTAAAATTTAAAAGAAAAAGAAATAATGAATACAGTGAATAGAAATTGACCCTTAACCCTTCCCTCTTTCTCTCTCACGCAGCTATATATATTACTTCTTTGTTTTGAATCTAAAATCAAATAATGTTTTTCGCTTTAGTGAATCGGACCATGTGAGTTGTGAGTTGACAAGTACTTCACCATTCCATTGCTGATAGCCTTCGAGTCCATACTCATCCACATCGATGTTGTCCTTTATGGATAGTGGTGGTGGTGGTGGGCTAATGGATCGCTCGTGTTAATCTTTGGTGGTGTCGTTTTACGGCTCCGGCAATGGGTTCAACTCCAGATCCATGACGCCGAGTTAAAATTTGGAACGATTCCATAGAACCCGGTGGCTTTCCTATCGTAGGAAGAGCCAATTGAATAGCCTATGGATACTTCTTGAAGTTTTTATTGCCTATATTCATTATAATTTTATTTTATTTTATTTATTTATTTTTTAAAAAAACTTAAAAACCTATTGAAGTCCCTTCTTATTCGGCCTAAGTCAAACATTGATATTTTTGAAAAGTTAACTCTTATTATTCACAACACCTACTATAACCATTTGCCCATTTACTTAAAAGTTTAATCTATTGGGTAGTAGTGCTATCCATTTATACCCATTTCATTTTTCATTTGGATCCGCTGTGAGATAAGTCTCTCCTTGTAATATTCTTCGCCACCCGAACTCGCAACGCCCTTCGTTATAGTCGGACCACTCTACCTACTCAGACGCCTTCTGTGCCGAATTCTTGGCGTGGTACCAGATCAAGGACTAAGTTTGGCTCTAAAACTAACTGTATGGGTGTGCACTTTTTCATTTACTAAAAAACTTAAACTATTAAATAGTGTTACATACCAACTTATTTATATCCATTTCACTTTTCATCTGGATCCGGACGAGTCTCCCTGTAATACCAACTTAATGGGAATCAAACTCTCAATCTCCCCTAAGTTGGACTTTAGAAAAAGTAAAGTGATGATGTTCAGCAATATTTCCAACCATATGTCTTACGAGAGCATAGCAATGTGAAATCACGCGGGAAGAATTCCTCCGTCAGTTTGCTACAAGTTCAGTGCTGGAAAACATGAAAGTGAGATGAACGTTTCATCCATGACCGTAACACGGAAACAGGAAATTAAGGAAGGTGATGGCACGTGATTTTTATTGATTTGTCCACAAAATTTGACAAGAACAATTACAGCAATAATTAGTACTAGTTTTTTCAACAATTACATGAAACATGAGTTAGAAAAAATAGTTGGCTTGAAGAAACTTTAAAGCAAACCCATTGTTATTGTTGATTTATGCTTATAAATTCTTTTTCGAATCTGCATTTCTAACTCATTCATCAACATTTTTCGATCACTTGTCTACTTTGCATAAACAAAGCCATGAGAAAATCAACTACAAATCTTCTTGTCCTGTTATATGCTCTTCTTTTCACAGAAGGAATTGGAGGAGTTCAGCTGCAGCAGAATGGAGAATCAAAAATAAGCTGCAATCTGAGTGAGCTAATTGCTCTTATCAAGTTCAAGGAATCGCTGATTGATAATTCAAACCGTTTGTTATCCTGGGTTGGAGAAGACTTTTGTACGTGGAAGGGAGTGGGTTGCAGCAAGGGAACCGGCACAGTCGTGGAGCTTGATCTACGCAATCCAATTCTGTTCGACTCTGATAGATACAACAGTGACAACAATTATACAGCAAAATATGACGCAGACCGCTTGCAAGGTGAAATAAATCCTTCTATACTCAATTTGAAGCATTTGCATCACATAGACTTAAGCTGTAATAACTTTTCTGGAATGTATCTCAACCTCTCTGAGAGTTTTTTTCAAGGTCCACTCCCAACCGAGATAGGCAATGCGTCGAAACTTACTGTTCTCGACCTCTCTGACAATGAGTTGGAAGGTGAAATACCACCCACCATAAGGAATCTCTGCAACTTGAGCGCCCTCGATTTGTCCTACAACAAATTCAATGGTGAGCTTCCAATTCTCATAGAAAATACGTCCGGTTGCCTCTCTGATAGTTTAAAGGACTTGCGTCTTGGATCCAACAGGTTTAGTGGTTTTCTGCCAAAACAACTTGGGAGATTTTAAAAACCTAGCGCGCCTTCCATCTTTTTTTCAACTCATTTATTGGTCCACTCCCGGTGTCACTCGGAAGACTATCATCATTGCAACAGTTAGATGTCAGTATTAATGCATTGAATGGAAGCATTCCCTTGAGCATTGGGCAACTCTCGAAGCTAGAATATTTGGATATGAGTAACAATTTCTTGTATGGCTCTGTCTATGAACTTCACTTCGCCAATCTCACTAGGTTGAATACGCTGTACTTGTCTCTAAACTTGTTGGTTTTCGATGTCAGCCCTCAATGGGTTCCTCCTTTTCAACTCCGAAATATTGACTTGGAATCCATTCAATTAGGACCTCAATTTCCTCCTTGGCTTCAAACACAGAGGCACCTCGAGTACTTAGGGCTTCGTAACACTTGTATCTCTAGTACCATCCCTTACTGGTTTGGGGATTTGTATTCCCACATTGAGGTGTTAGATATATCCCAAAATCAGATCAGTGGGAAACTGCCTAGGTTTTCGAATTCTAAAATTAACGGTACTCGAAGGAGGTTATATTTGAATTCCAATAAATTTGGCAGCCCGTTAATATCAGTCCCTTCAGATGTCGCCATTTTAGACATTTCCAACAACCTACTTTCAGGATCAATTCCTCTTATAAATGGTAGTATCAATATGACATTGGAGCATATTGATCTCTCGACTAACAATTTGACTGGAGGCATTCCAACCTATTTGTGAAAGATAAATAATTTGAGAAATATTATTCTCTCAAAAAATCATTTATCAGGAGGACTTCCTTGGTGCATTGGGGACTTGCACCGACTAGAAGTTCTTGATCTGAGTAATAACAACCTACATGGTGAAATTCCAACTTCTCTGGGTTCTCTTCGAAGCCTCTTATCTTTACACTTGAGCAGTAACAGATTTCATGGAAAGATCCCTTTGTCACTATGTAATTTGACAAATCTGCAACATCTCGATCTAAGTGAAAACGAATTTGCGGATATTATCCCACCATGGATCGGAGAAAAGCCTTCGAGTCTAAAATTTCTGAGTCTTCAATCAAATAAATTTTATGGTGATATTTCTCTACATCTTTGTCACCTTTCATCTCTTCAACTGTTGAACTTGGCGCGTAATAGTATAACTGGATGTATACCAAGGTGTTTTGGCAATATCAGTCCCATGATTAAGGATCGTAGTACTTGGACTACGAATTATTACAAGGAATCCATTTTAGCTTATACGAAGGGTAGAGAACTTGAATACACCCAATCGCGTGCGCTCGAATTACTCACATCCATTGATCTTTCAAACAACCATATAGTTGGAGAAATTCCGGGAGAGTTGATGGATCTTGTTGGGTTGAGATACTGAAATATCAGTTTATCACACTTTTTCTGGGATGTTCACGGCTGTTATTACATTACTATATGTTGGATTTCATTTAGCTTTGTTTTCATCCAATTTGAGTTCATATTTAATTTTATATGAAGTTTTGAATAACTACTGCTGTGCCGAAAGTTTTGGTTACAGCAGTACCTTTGTATAATCTTTATCACAGGTTGTTGTCGGATTTTGAGGATGATATTTTGTGATATGAAAATAGACTCATAGAGCTTTCTCCATAATTTTGTTTCACCCCATTTGAATTAGTAATTTATTTTCTATAAATTTTTAAAGATCCATTATTTTTACTGGAAATTTTATGGATAGGTGTGCCTTTCTGTGATTTCATTTCATATCTAATGTTCGAATTTAAATACGAGAATATAAAGAAAAAAAAGTGGACTTAAGATGGCTTCATTGAAATTTTTAGTTGATTTGAAATATTATAGCTTATTTAATAATGTAGTTGACAGCCTGACCTAGGTGTTCAGTTAACCTTCCAACATTGCTATCGTTCTCTTTCTGCAACTATTGAAGGAGATTTGCTTAAGCTTTGTTAGATACCAATTTCTCCATTTTAATTAAAACCCAGACACCTACTGGGCTCTTTTGAGCTCACCCCTTTTTAAAAACTTTTTTAAAAAAGTGGTGAGCTCAAAAGAGCCCACTAAGGTGATCGCTATAGAGCCTAGTGGACTATACTCCTAGCGATCACCCACAGGACGGGAGTAAGGTGATTGCTAGGAGTATAGGTTTTGGAGACGTGACATTCAGGTGGATATTGCTTCGTGTTTTGGTGTCAGTCATTACATCTTGTTTTTGAAGTATGGGTTATGTAAATTTTGAAGCAGCTATAGAGACTAGTGACTTTTGATAGGATATAAGGGCTGTGTAAATGCTTAATCAGTGAAGGGACTTTTGGTTATGAGTTATGAGCAGCTAGTGTGTTGTATGACTGATATTGAGCAGGATTATGTGGCGTTGCTTATGCTTTAAGAGGTTGGATCATTATCTTACACTTCCGCCAGGAGCGGGGTGTGACAATATGTTTTTAGATTATTTTTTGTTATATATGTATTCTTTTAGATCTTGTGAAGTACCATTACGGTGGATGTTCTCGGTTTTAGTCTCTAATTTTTGCACAGGGTTAAGTGCAGAAAACATTCCTACATTATATGTTTTGTGCATGCTGACCCCTTACTTTTAAAAGTGAGCAGTGTCAATCTCCATATATATATATATATATTGGTGAAATTTGACCTAAAATAAATATGATATCCCAATTTTGCCCTCCCCTTTCCCATTTTGCCCTTCAAACAAATATTATATTAAAAACACTTTTAAAATTAAAGTGAGCAAGATGTTGCTTGTTTTTGTTGCATTAGAGCATCTCTAATGCTAAAAGTCATTTTCGCATGCCAAATCTATATTTTGACAGGTGCTACAGTGTCAAAATGATACATTTTAGTAATTTTGCTCAAATGGTGCATTTAATACAAAATGCTATTTTTTTACACAACTACCATTCTTTTTCAATTACCATTCCCACCATTCCTATTTGCATCAATAATATTAATATTAGGCACATTCCAAGTCAAGTTATAGATATTAGAAGGAAACTAAAATTAAATTTAATTAAAAAGAAGTAAAAATCTGAAATATCTGATAAAAAAAAGACTAATATATATATAAATTTATATACTTGATTATATATATATATATTTATAGGAAATTTGTATATATTTTATTATATTATTATTAAAAATATAAATATTTTTAGGGCAAATCATTTCAGGCTCCCCAATCCCCCATCTCTATTCATGTCTCAACTCTGAAATTGCCCCCCCTCTCTCTCTGTGCAACTGCAAACTACAAAATCAACAAGAACCAGAAGTTCAGAACCTATATCTTTCAATTTCCATAGCCCGCTTGTAACGACCCAGCTCCTCATGGATCCGGATCATTAAACGGGTCCTAACCCGACCAAAAACATCCAAGGGTGAAACGGTAATTTCACGTTAAATTAAAATGTTGAGTTCCAAAAAGGCAAGATGGTAATTTGCCATATTTCAATAAATTAAGACCCAAAGGACGTCATAGTCATTTACGTGCATCACACAATAATTAAAATGAGGTCCGGGGTAAAATAGTCCTTTTGGGGCAAAAATATAATTATGGCATTTAATTGGGTCATAAAAATAATTAATTTTAACTTCAAATGATGCCAAAGTGTAATTTTTAAGAACTTAAATTGGTAATTACATGAAAAAGTAGAACAGGTCGACATATATACATTCTGCCAAGATACCGGTCGACATTTGGGAGGCCACATGTCGATCGGTTCTGGGAAAATTGCACTCCCACTTCCCACTGTCCAAGGATAACTCACTTACACCAACACTTGGTAATTAACCACCCCGACACTACATTCACGTACAAAATAAGATATATTTCAACATAATAACAACCACCACGTTGGTAACGTAATTTACAACACCTTACTTAGAATACACAAAACTGATTTTGAGTGAGTAATACTTAATTACATTCCCAAAACTATAATTACACATGAAATAGCTAAATACAAGATAGCAAAAATCATCTTCTAACAACTTTCAATTTTGAGGTGGATTAGCATCCGCCGGTTCTTTTCCAAGACCTGAAAAAAATTAATATATAGCAGGGTGAGCTATATGCTCAGTAGGTGACACTTAATATACACATCTTGTGTCCTTGTGAATCTAATCAAAGCATAGGCCAATGGTAAATAGGGATCAGGCAATGTAGGGTTAAAACAACTTCAATGTCAATTCCAAGTGTAAACAATGCAATGCATGATATGTCACTCCCCATTTTTCATTTCTCAAAACCATACTTTCCAACGGTTAATACAGCCCGCCCTTTGGTAACCCCGCCGCGACACGAAAGGAGGATTGACTAGTGTCCCTGACCCTTGGTAACCCCACGGCGTCATTATGGGGCCCAGCTAGCTCAACCACGCTAGGGCGACTCCCTAGTCCCCTCTAGGCTATATTAACCTCCGGCCTATTGGTAACCCCGCAGCGACCGGGTTTATCAAAACCATTTCACAAAAACTCTTCTCCCAAAATTCCCGTTTTCATTTTAAAAACTGATTTCTCCCATTTCATGCAACCCAATGGCATGCACATGTATATGTGTCTTAAGCTTACAATATTATGGCATGTAGAAGTTTTACATTTCATAATTACTTCACAACTAAGCATATATCATATTCAACATCATCAATTGAGTCATTAACACATTAAGCACAACAAAACTATCACCACAACATGCTTTTCACATAGAACAAATCATAATCAAAATCATGAATTTCTCTAGACATCAATTACACAATATTGAAACAATTAACTCTCAATTTAAGCATGTTTATCACACAAAGGAGATATAACTCACAATGGAACAAGAAGGAAGTGGATTAAGGGCCCCTACCTCGAAAATAGACAAAACCCTTGAAATAGGTCCTCAAATTCGAACTCCAAGGAGGGCACCAAATCTGGAATTTCAGGTATGGATGCGTAGAGCTCGATGTGCTCGATGTTTTGCCTCAAACGGCTCTCAATTTCACTAAGAAGTGAAGAAGTTATGAAGATTCAAAGATTTGAAGCCAAAAATGAAAAGAAAAGATAGGAGCAAGAGGGAGGGGGAGAACTTACGGGAGAATGAAAAATTAGAAAGCAAAGATATGGTCTCAAGACCACATTTGAGGTAGTGGTGGGTCCCACCTGATTTTCTTTTCTTTTCCCTTTTTCTTTTACTTCAATTTTACACCAGATACACACATAAGTGAACCACATGCAAATACTACTTAATCCACATAATTTAAAATGTACACAATGCAAATGGACCCAACCACAATCCCGAACACAATATGCGAAAAGACATAAATGTCCTTGTCTTCACGAATTATTAGAAAAATGAAAATACTGAAAAAAAACAGAAACATCACATTTTCCCCAACTTAAAAGGATTTCGTCCCCGAAATCAAGCTGTACCTGGGAAAGAGAACAACTCTGGATACTTGGAGCGAACCTGCTATTCAAGCTCCCAAGTAGCCTCCTCGACTCTGTGGTGCCTCCAAAGAACTTTCACTAACTGCATCGTTTTACCCCTTAACACCTTCTGCCGTGTGTCAAGAATCTGCACTGGTCCCTCTTGATAGGAGATATCTTCATCAATGTCCACATCGACCCAATCCAAAATGTGAGATGGATCCGGTTCATACTTCCGTAGAATCGACACATGAAAAACATTATGAACCTTGTCCATCTGCGGTGGTAAAGCGAGTCTGTAAGCAACCTCTCCTACACGGTCCAAGATCTCAAATGGTCCAATGAATCGTGGCGACAACTTGCCACTTTTCCCAAACCTCATCAAACCTTCCGTGGAGAAACCTTCAGAAAAACATGGTTTCCCACTTCAAAAGCTAGCGGTCGTCTCCGCTTGTCTGCATAGTTCTTCTGTCGACTCTGAGCTGTGAGCAACCTCTATCTGATCAATTTGATCTTCTCGGTAGTCTCGAGTACAATGTCGGGTCCTAAGGCAGCTGTCTCACCTACCTCAGTCCAACAAACTGGAGACCTACAAGGTCTGCCATACAACGCCTCAAATGGAGCCATCTCTATGCTCGCCTGATAACTGTTGTTGTAGGCAAACTTAATGAGCGGTAGATGATTTTCCCAACTGCTACCCAAGTCAAGCACACATGCCCGGAGTATATCCTCCAAGATCTGGATAGTACGCTCCGACTGGCCGTCTGTCTGTGGATGGAATGCCGTGCTAAGATTTAACGCTAAACTAAACGCTGTTTGAAGTCCTTCCCAGAACTTCGAAGTGAACTTAGCATCCCTGTCCGAAACAATGGTTACTGGAACTCCATGTAACCTTACAATCTCATTCACATAAGGAACACCAAGCTTCTCTGCATCATCTGTTGCCTTAATAGGCAA